CTGAACCTGCAATGTTGGCATATCAGGATGATACTCTAACCAACTGAGCTACCCGGCCAGGGTCATCACAATATAAAGTTTCAAAAATGGAACCCTAGGAGATCTGCACCCTGAGGTCCATATGACCAGGCCCAGGACTGAGAGGTCTGCTATACAGGGAGGTCAAGGTAACTTGTGATGACAGAGCTTTATTTATTTATATATTTATTTAAGTATGTTTTTATTGATTTTTCAGAGAGAGGATGGGAGAGGGAGAGTGAGATAGAAGCATCAATGATGAGAGAATCATCAATCAGCTGCCTCCTGCACAGCTCCTACTTGGGATTGAGCCCATAACCCAGCCGTGGGCAAACTACGGCCCGCGGGCCGGATCCAGCCCGTTTGAAATGAATAAAACAAACAAACAAAAAAAGACCGTACCCTTTTATGTAATGATGTTTACTTTGAATTTATATTAGTTCACACAAACACTCCATCCATGATTTTGTTCCGGCCCTCCGGTCCAGTTTAAGAACCCATTGTGGCCCTCGAGTCAAAAAGTTTGCCCACCCCTGCCATAACCCATGCATGTGCCCTGACGGGGAATCGAACCATAACCCCCTGGCTCAACTACTGAGCCACACCAGCTGGGTGATGGCAGAGCTTTGAGTGTCACTACTTCCATTTTTGCTTGGAGCTCATTGACATGGCGTCCACCGTTGCCTTGCTGTTGTTTTTCTTCTACAGCCACTCTTCCTGCTATTTTTCAACACTTTTTTCCTGTGTGTGTAACTTCAGATTTCTGTATTTACAACCTTGACCTGTGGAAGGAAGACATTTCAGAAATATGAGTGGTGAGCCCTCGCAGGTCTTCCCAACTAGCACTCTGGAATGAGTTGCTTAGGGTCCCCCTGGCACCGAGGAGTCTCTCGGGGAGTGAAGCTGCATCTGGCCAGATTGCCCCCTCCTGTCGCTTCTCGTTTTCCATGTCAGTGTTTCACTTTTCCTTAAATGGGAGTGTGAGCAAATGGAGCAGAGAAGTTGACTTGTCACATTTTTGCGTAGTGCTTGCTCCTTTTTTTAAAAAAAAAAAAATATTTTTATTGATTTCAGAGAGAAAGGAAGAGGGAGAGAGAGATAGAAACATCAATGATGAGAGAGAATCATTTATTGGCTGCCTCCTGCACATCCCCTAATGGGGATGTAGCCCACAACCCGGGCATGTGCCCATGACTGTAATCAAACCCAGGAAGGACCCTTCAGTCCACAGGCAGATGCTCTATCCACTGAGCCAAACCAGGTAGGGCTTGCTCTTGTTTCTAAATTTGTTTCACAAGTCAGAGTGATTTAAAGACATCACCTTTGCCTCAGTGAAGTGTATACCTTTCTGCATTCTCCACTCTTGGCACATGAACAGGACTGGACTCATCGTGGCTTCCTGGCTTACCGCACTCCGCAGTGCAGATGAGAGTGATGTCGCATATCTGGGAGATGTTTCTTTGAAGTTGTGGAGTGATTTTCTTAAGATGGCATGTGGTTTGGGCTGTCCTGGTAGCTGCTTTTCAGAGCCATGGGTGTCGGCTCCTCAGGTGGCTGCCTTCCCTGAGCTGGTGCATTTGGCTGGGTCCCTCACATTGTCATGGGATCCTGGAGTGGAGTGAACGACAATCATCCTTTAGGCGGCAGTGCCTGACGTGCTCTCAGGGTTTAATTCTGCGATATTTCTTCTGAATTTTACTTTTGTTAAAAGACTTTATGGTGGTTTAAAATTGTATTTGTCCATGTCAATTAGAGTTTTTTCAAGTTAGGAAAAGTTAGGTCATGGCATCTTTATTTATTTATTTATTTTTAAATTTTCATAAGTTTATTAAAATAATTTCACTTCATAATGACTTAAGGTATATTCAGGAAGAAAAGGGAGTTCCAAATGGGCATTTTATTAATAAAATATTTTACTACTTTAAAGGGGAGAAAAACAAATAATCATCTGTAGAAATTACAAAACGATACAAAGAAAGTGTCATATTTAGAAAACTAAATGTAGAATGGACAAGACAGCCTATGCTCTCTCTTTATCATGTCATATTATTTGAAAATTCTTTTTTTTTTTAATTAAATCTTTATTGTTCAGATTATTACATTTGTTCCTCTTTTTTTTCCCCCCATAACTCCCCTCCTCCCAGTTCCCGCCCCACCCTCCGCCCTCACTCCCCACCCACTGTCCTCATCCATAGGTGCACGATTTTTGTCCAGTCTCTTCCCGCATCTCCCACACCCCTTTCCCCCCCAGGAATAGTCAGTCCATTCCCTTTCTATGTCCCTGATTCTATTATAATCAACAGTTCATTCTGTTCATCAGATTATTTATTCACTTGATTCTTAGATTCACTTGTTGATAGATGCATATTTGTTGTTCATAATTTGTATCTTTACCTTTTTCTTCCTCTTCCTCTTCTTAAAGGATACCTTTCAGCATTTCATATAATCCTGGTTTGGTAGTGATGAACTCCTTTAGCTTTTCCTTATCTGTGAAGCTCTTTATCTGACCTTCAATTCTGAATGATAGCTTTGCTGGATAAAGCAATCTTGGTTGTAGGTTCTTGGTATTCATCACTTTGAATATTTCTTGCCACTCCCTTCTGGCCTGCAAAGTTTCTGTTGAGAAATCAGCTGACAGTCGTATGGGTATTCCCTTGTAGGTAACTGAGTTTCTTTCTCTTGCTGTTTTTAAGATTCTCTCTTTATCTTTTGCTCTTGGCATTTTAATGATGATGTGTCTTGGTGTGGTCCTCTTTGGATTCCTTTTGTTTGGGGTTCTCCGCACTTCTTGGACCTGTAAGTCCGTTTCTTTCACCAGGTGGGGGAAGTTTTCTGTCATTATTTCTTCAAATAGGTTTTCAATATCTTGCTCTCTCTCATCTTCTGGCACCCCTGTAATTCTGATGTTGGTACGCTTGAAGCTGTCCCAGAGGCTCCTTACACTATCCTCGCATTTTTGGATTCTTTTTTCGTTTTGCTTTTCCGGTTTGCTTCCTCGCATTTCAAATCATTGACTTGATTCTTGCGCTCCTCTGGTCTGCTGTCGGGAGTCTGTATAATATTCGTTATTTCAGTCTGTGTATGCTTAATTTCTAGTTGGTTCCCCAATATAACATCGAGGGTCTCATTAGTTTTCTTGTAGATCTCATTAAGTTTATCGGCGGCTTCTAAACAGTTCTTGAGAGACCTTAAAAGTGTGGTTCTGAACTCTATATCTTCCATTGACAATTTTGTCCTGTTTCTTTGTCTCCGCATTTTGTTATGCTTCCTTGGTGCACCCCCTAGTGGTCTTTGTTCACAGTCTTATAGTTAAATCTTGATTGTTGTAGCTAATTCCAGGGAGGGTTTGACCTCCAGGCCAAGTGGCTATGAGAATCAGCAGTGTCAGCAGTGAGAGAACTTCTGTCCTCTAGGGAGGTGCTAATCTAGCCTTTGCCTGAGGCTATCCGGCAAATGCCTCTGTGCAGGGCTTGGGCGGGGCGGGTCGCACAGGATCAACAGGGTGGGCCGGAGAGAGCAGTTATGGCGGCTCTCAGTCCTGTCCCCAGGGGCTCTGCCTCTCTGAGTCCCAGCACCCGCTGCAAAGCTCGGAGAGAAAGCTGCACTCGCTCTGACCGAAGCCCGACAGTCCCGCTTCTCCCGTTTGAGTCTGGGTCCCTAAAGACTCGGCTGTATCTGGAGCTCAGAGTGTGCGACTCCCTCCCGATTGAAAACGCCAACCGCGCCCTCCGCCACCAGCCCGCTCGGCGCACTCAGCACCTCAGAATTTGACTTCAGCACTGCGCCTCTTCTGAGTGTCCGTATGCGTTTCTCTTTCCTCCTAGTTGTAGGACTTCCACTCAGCCAGCGTTCCTGTGGTTCTGGGTGATGTCCGTTCCGTTTTTTAGTTTCACTTTTGAAGTAGTTGTTCAAGGCAGCAAACTCCGGCGTTAACCTATGCCGCCATCTTGGTTCTCCTGCATCTTTATTTTTTAAACTTTATATTATGGAACTTTTCAAACATCCACAAAAGCAGAAGTGTGCAGTGAGCCCCCATGTCTCAGGTCATCTTCAATATTGTCTGTGCTTGTCCAGCCCTAGTCCATGCACACCTCCCTCTCTTTTTCTTCTTCCCAGAGTGTTATTTTTTAAAACATATTTGTATTGGTTTCAGAGAGGAAGGGAGAGAGAAATAGGAACATCAGTGATGAGAGAGAATCATTGATTGCCTGCCTCCTGCACACCTTACACTGGGGATTGAGCCTGCAACCCAAGCGTGTGCCCTGACCAGAATCAAACCGTGACCTCCTGGTTCATAGGTCTATACTCAACCACTAAGCCGTGCCAGGGGGGCCCCAGTGTGTTATTTTAAAGTCAACCCAAAGTTCTGAACCTTAAATGCTCTGAATGTATTTCTCTACATTCAGAGAAATATCATGACTCAAATTAAAAATAAGTTATTCATACCATCCAGTGAGGTTCAGAGTCCTCTGTTGCTTCATGAATGTGTTTTTGCAGTTGTAGATCTGGGCCATTCATTGGGACGGCTTCTAGACTTGCTTTTAAATTCTCATGTGAGAAAAGTGGAACAGAAAACCCAGACCCTCAGACCAAGTGTTAGAGGTAGAATATTCCGGAATTCTCTGTGGTGGTCACTTTGGCTCAAGGAAATGCAGTGAGGAAGCATAAGAGGAGGACCCTTGCTCCCAGGGTCCACCCTGTTAGCAGTTCCCTCCATGGGTGCTTTGTGAATCTAGAGGATGGCTGTGGACAGCAGATCCCAGGTTCCCATCTGCGGTTCTGCCTCTGGGGAAGTAAATCCAGCAAGTTCTTGCTCTTGTGATGATTTTGGTAGAACACTCACGGGGAAGGATTGATCCTGGGTCGTGCTTGTAGACCTCTCTCGTGGACCCTGGCAGGAAATCTGTCCTGTGTCTAGGATGCCAGGGGGAAGGCCACAGTGTTGGGAACCCCTACCATAAAGGCCACTGTCTGTCTCTCAGGAATGGGCACCACTGACCATGTCATCGTCCTGGCATCTACCAACCGAGCTGACATTTTGGACAATGCTCTGCTGAGACCAGGCCGACTGGACCGACACGTCTTCATCGACCTCCCCACACTGCAGGTCAGTGTGGCCTGAGGCTGCCCTTGGCAGATGCAGTTGCTTATTCCCCCTGGTGCTTGTCTCCAGATTTTCTTTGGCTCACCACTCTTCTCATGGTTTTGCAGCTTTTTTTTTTTTTTTTTTTTTAACCCACATTGTTTTTCCCTTTATCCTTAAGTATCTGAGGTTGAATCGATATGTTTCAGTTGAGTTTTGTAGCATATTTTTTGGAGAGCCTCAGAATTCTCATCCTGACCAGCTCAAGTCCTTGATGCCATATGGTTGTGGAACATGAGCTCTGCAGCTGCCCTGAAAGCACGTTGGGAAGGGGTGGGAGATCTGTACCTCTTGGCCCCACCAACCTCCATATCAGGCGTCTGGTTGGATGTCCACCTCTGTGTAGTCAGGCCTTTGTGGTGGCCACTGAGGGAGCAGGAATCCAGCATGCAGGGATTAAAGGATCACATGTGTGGTGGAGACCACCATGGGTAGGGACAAGGTTTGGAGGGTGAACCTAACAATTGGTTAGTTGGTAACTGTTTCTGTAGGTACACACATGGGGGCACAGGTTACTGTCTCTGTAGGTACACACATGGGGGCACAGGGGTGTGGCTTATGGCACACCCCGTGCTCATCCTGAGTTCTCTTCTCAAACTGCTCCTCAGTCTAAGAAGCGGAGTGAGGCTACCCTCTGCCAGCTTCTGGAGGAGTGGCTGTCCATCTTCCTGACCGTAGGAAACATTTACATAGTTTCACATGTGCATGAATCAAAGGCTCCACAAAATTACTTACTTTGTTGCGTTTTATATTCTATTCTGTTTCCTTTTTTCCCCTTTTCATTTTGTAAGGCTGCTTGCAGCTCTAAATTGGTTTCACAAACTATGGTTGTGATTAATGATGAAGAAACTCCGGAGAGTGCCTCCCTAGTGGCTCCTATCTGTGTGGCAGATGTGCTGACCCACACTTGTGTCCTTCTCCCTGTCTTCGGTAGGAACGGCGGGAGATTTTTGAGCAGCACCTGAAGAGCCTGAAGCTGACGCAGGCCAGCAGCTTTTACTCCCAGCGTCTGGCAGAGCTCACGCCGGGGTTCAGCGGTATGGGAGCCGGTTCTTATTGGTCCTGAGGGCAGAGGGCAGGTGGTCTTTCCTGCATGTGAGTGCAGGCTTGCCCCGGGTACCCTCCATTCCCCTTCTCTGGGCAGCACAGCATGGTTGAGAGTGAGGTTGTGCACACAGAGCAGGCAGGAGATAGAAGAATTGCACAACATTTACTTCTCCCCAAGTGGTAGAACATCCAATGGTGGTCCTGTTGCCTGCATTTAGACTGCCCCATGTGTGTGTCCCCACTATGGGCAATCCTAGAAGTTCCGCCTTTAAGGCTCCCCATACAGGCCGTTTAGTTCCTGTCCAGCTTAGATCGTGAGATTCCGCTACTCCCACCAGCTGCTGCCATGGCTCGGCCTTGTCACTGCTCTCCCTCCGTCTCAGTTTTCATTGTAGACACAGATATCACAAATCAAGAATTTTGGGGGAACATTTTGCTTCCCAGCATTTGTCATCAGTTTGGCTCAATTAAACTCATAAAATTAAATTTAAAAGGATCTTTTTTCTATAAGACTCTCATTTTAAAGGGTAATGTACTTTTTTCTTTTGAATTTCTTAACTAGAATCTTTCGGATACTAGAGAGCCTTTAATTTTTTTTTTTTTTTTTTTAAGGCAGGAAGCCCCATTAGTTATTTTGTTCATTTGTTTTTTAATTGATTTTGGAGAGAGAGGAAGGGAGCAGGAGAGGTAGAAACATCCATCAGCTGTCTCCTGCACGTCCCCTACTGGGGATTAAGCCCACAACCCCGGCATATGCCCTGATTGGGATCGAACCAGTGACCTTTTGGTACATGGGATGATGAGCCACACCAGCAGGGCTGTTTTTGTTTGTTTGTTTGTTTGTTTTAAATATATTGATTTTTTACAGAGAGGAAGGGAGAAGGATAGAGAGTTAGAAACATCAATGAGAGAGAGACATCGATCAGCTGCCTCCTGCACACCCCCTATTGGGGATGTGCCCGCAACCAAGGTACATGCCCTTGACCGGAATCGAACCCGGGACCCTTCAGTCCGCAGGCTGACACTCTATCCACTGAGCCAAAATGGTTAGGGCAGGGCTGTTTGTTTTTAATCTTCATCCAAAGATATGTTTTTATTAATTTTTAAAGAGAGAGGAAGGGGGAGAGACAGAGAAACATCTATGTAAGAGAGAAATAGCCATCAATTGCCTCCAGTATGCTCCCTGGACCAGGGATTGAACCCACATTGGTATGTGTCCTGACCGGGAAACAAACCTGCAGCCTTTTTCGTGTACAGGCCGAAGCTCCAACCCACTAAGCACCTGGCCAGGGCTAATTTTTTATCCATCAGTGCACATATGAATTATTAGGTAGAATAAAACACCAGATGGTACATGGAAGAATGCTGATAGCAGTTGTGTAGTAAAGCAGTGGAGAAGGCAGAAAGACTAAAAGAGGATGGGAAGAGGTGGTTCTTTGGGTCCAGTAGAGCTGGAGCACTGGCTCACAGCCCTTATCATTTATTTGTGCAAGTCTCCTTTCCTTTCCTCCTCTCCATCCCTGAGGGAGCAGAACCAATACCCCTGCCATTCCGTTTTGCTGACAGGTGCTGACATTGCCAACATCTGTAATGAGGCTGCTCTGCACGCTGCACGAGAAGGGCACACATCTGTTCACACGTTTAACTTTGAGTATGCTGTGGAGCGTGTCATTGCAGGTATGAGGCACAAATGCCAAAAGTGAACTCAGGGAGGGTGGGAATGGAGGGAATAGGTCAAGCTTAGATGTCACATGGTGGACCTTATCAGCAAGGAATTATTGGACAAGAGGAAAATACATAAAGTGTTTGTATTTTTTATAATTCAGGGCTTGACACTATGACTTAAAACACTGCAAATTTGCATAACAGCAGACACTCTTCAAATCTATATATATAAAAGCCTAAGTGACTGTCCAACTGTTTGACCATTTGCCCAGTAGCTATGATGCACAATGACCATCAGGGGGCATACATTCTGACTAGTAGAGGAGGGAGCCCAATTCTTTGCAGAATCGGCCGTGGGTTAGGTTGCTGATGGGACTCTGTTGACCCCAAATCTGCTTCACCTGCAACCCGGACCCAGAGGAGGGAAGAGGGAGCCTGATTCCTCACGGAATCGGCCATGTCTTTGGTTGCTTCTGGGGGGAGGGCAGGAAGAGATTAACCAAAGATCTTATATGCATACTAGAGGCCTGGTGCACGGATTTGTGCACTGGTGGGTTCCCTCAGCCTTCCTACGGGGATTGTGTCGAAACTGGCTCTCCAATGTCCCCTGAGGGATCCCAGATTGTGAGAGGGTGCAGGCCAGACTGAGGGACCCCACCGGTGCACGAATCCATGCACCGAGCCTCTAGTAGAAGTATAAAAGGATCTTGCAAACCCAAATGTGAGTGGGGCTCAGCCCATTAGCCATCATGTGGTGCCTGAGAGCCAACTGCAAATGGACAGGCCACTGTGCATGTTGTCAGGGGTCTGCACTGCTGCTGCCCAAGGACAGAGGGAATGAACATGTGCTCAGGGCTGTGCTCTACTGGTCAACTCTGTCTCTGCTATTCCTGTGCTCTGCTTGGGACGTGAATGGGAGAGGTGTTTGGGTAGTGAGGGGCTGAGGTGTTTCTGTCAATGCTTAACCATTGCTGCTCAAAGTGGGATCTGTGGACTTCTATGAGGAGAGTAGGACTGAAAATGAGAGAAAGCATCTAGAAGCTTTCATAACTCCATGTGGCAGCATCCAGACATGAGTAGTACATCTTGTCTTTGAACAGGGTTGAGAACAGAAGTACTAGTCCAAGACACTGAGAATTTGAAAAAGGGAAACTGGTCCTTCCTACAGATGTTTGAGAAGCACAGGCTCTGCATGTAGGTAGTGAGCCCTCTGTCATAGCTGTCCCTACAAGAAGCGTGTTCTGATCACCCTCAGTTTGAGTTAAAATCTAGGACAAATGCCACCAGGTTCTCAGGCTGCAGCTTGGGAAAGAAGCAAACTTGTGTGAATAGAGAAAACTATAGTTGCTGTTTCTTCCTCTAAATTTGGTTTTGTATAAGCCATTTATTTTTACATGGAAATTGATTAACTTATAGTAATATTATCAAATCAGGAAAGTCTAAAGAAAATACTAATAGAATGCTGTCCCCCACATCCTCCCTCCCCTGTATGCAGTGCTTAGAACACGAAGAGCTCTCTTGTCCTTACTTCAGTGTGGACTGCCTGAGCTGGAACACATTTGTGTTGAGGTAAAGCCCATCTTGTGGGGCTGTGATATCATGTTTAGAGGCTCATATAATAAGCTCTGGTTGAAATGATTCGTCTGCCACAGCCAGTGCATCTTAGAAAGAATTTACAGCCTTATGGTAAATGTGGAGGATGATCCTCATAGCATGATATAATAAATACCCTGAACCTAGAGCTTGCATAAAATGGAAACTTAAGGATGTTTGGAAAATTTGGGACAGTGAATGAAATCTTAGCAATAATTTGAACAGGTGAAAAGTAAGGTAGTTACCAAGACAGGAGGTACTACTAAGGGTGAAAGAACTGTAGAATCACAGAGGCTGCAGTTATCCCTGCTAGCTCTGGGAGAAAAGCCAACAAACCTAGAATTTGGAGTGGATCCCATACTAATTCTGTCAGCCCTGCAGCCCCACCCAGGAAGCCTGCAGGAGCTGTTTGAATTATTCCAACATTTATGGAAGTGAGAACAAACATGCCCCCCTCCAACACCTCTCATACCCAATGAGTTTCCCTTTGAATTGGAGTAATAGTTGTGGATGGGGTCAGCTTGGGGCAGAAACACAGAAGGTGACCATCCCATGAGGATCTCACAACAACATGGTAAACAACTTGTAAGGCCGAGCAAGGAAGGTTTCTGCGTGCTTACACAGGATTATCCGTGGGCCTAAACTCAGAGTCCTGGGCATTCTTTCAGGGACGGCCAAAAAGAGCAAGATCCTCTCAAAGGAAGAGCAGAAGGTTGTTGCATTTCATGAGTCAGGCCATGCTTTGGTTGGCTGGCTGCTGGAGCACACTGAGGCTGTGATGAAGGTAGGGTGTCGGAGAGTGGGAGCCAGGGAGGGTCTGGGGTCATGGAGGCTGGGCACCCAACTGGCCCTTGAACAAAGCTGACTTTGGGAGCACCACTTGTTTGTGCTTGGTGAAAAGAAAGCACAGCCTGAGGTGGACCTGGGTGGGAACATGTGGAAGGTGACTGTGCAGGACCCCTCACCTTGGAATCAGAGGGTAGGAAGAGGTCTGACCTCTAAACCAGTTGGGTCCAGTTATGGGCATGACCATTTGAAATCCACATGACTATTTGGGGCCTTGCTTTCCATCTATAGTCACTCTTGGAATTAAGAACCGTCAGGTTTACTATCAACTGTAACATATGTGGATCTAATAATTCCGAATTGTAAAAAGAAGTGAGTTGAGTACACTTTTTTAAAAACACTACTCTTCCAGACATTTGTGAGTTAGATGAAAATTTGACAGTTCTCCCAAAATGTGTCGATTTGTGACCTTGAATGACCATTAAGGAAAATGTAAATGTTTGGGATGCAGGTGCCCAGTCTGTAAAGATGAGGGCATGGATTGTAATTGTACCCTCCACCAAAACAAGTGGAGTCACTGGGAGCCTGCACAGCTGGTTTGGTTCCACCAGCAAGGAAAGAGCTACATTGCAGTTCCCTAAGACCCAAACACAGGAACAATGTAGCACTTACCAGCCTGGTATGTGAGTGATTAATGTTGGACAATCAGTGATGTTAATTGTAGCAGTGTAGATTGTTTTTTTGTTGTATTATTTTTTATTGATGTGAGAGAGAAACATTGATTTGTTGTTCCACTTATTTATGCATTCATTGGTTGTTTTTTTTAAAATTGATTTCAGAGAGGAAGAGAGAGAGAAATAGAAACATCAGTGATAAGAGGGAATCATTGATTAGCTACCTCCTGCACACCCCACACTGGGGATCGAGCCCACAACCTGGGCATGTGCCCTGACTGGGAATCGAACTGTGACCTCCTGGTTCATAGGTCAATCCCTGAGTCATGCCTGGCAGGCGTGTTGATTGCTTCTTGTATGTGCCCTGACTGGGGATCGAACCTGCAATCTTGACGTATTGGGACGATGCTCTAAGCAATTGAGGTACCCAGCCGGGGCCACAAAGTAGATTGTTAGTCTGGGAATGTTTGATTATGTCCTTCTGACCGGGCCAGTTCCTTTCATATGCTCATTGGAGGGCTGAGTCTAGTGTTTTGTGACAGAGATAAGTGGATGCAACAGTCACTGAAGTAGGTGATTGGGGCTGGGTCCAGGGTGAGGCAGGTGGGACAGTTACCTATAGTGTGATATTTATGGGACACTAAAATATTCAGTAATCAAGTTAAATATTTTAAGCCTGGCTGGCATGGCTCAGTGGTTGAGCATCGACATGAACCAGGAGGACATGGTTCGACTCCCGGTCAGGGCACATGCTGGGGTTGCAGGCTCAATCCCCAGTGTGGGGCATGCAGAAGGTAGCCAATCAGTGATTCTCTCTCACCTTTGATGTTTTATCTCATAAATATTTTAATGCAATATCAACAAAATAAATATTAATGCAGAAAGATTCACAATGATGCAAATATCACTAAAATGAACTCTTCTCAGAATTTTTGCTTTATTAGATGGCTTTAAGACATAAACTAGTCATAATGAGAAAAACTCCCTCGAGAGCTCATACTTTGCTAGGGAAAGATAAGTTCTCATTGCTGTTTGGTTGTTATTTCCAGCCTTTTTAATTGTAGTTTAATTTAGTGTTGGATTTTAAGTTTCCCCTTTCAATTTTCCGGCTACTGTGAGGTGGTTTTCTTGCTGCGGTAACCCTCAGAAATGACACCTGCAACCCAAGTCTCTCCTTGTTGCTCAGGAGCAGGCCTTGTCCTGCTGGAGTTGTACACACACGTGGTGTTGGCCAGTGAGGAGGCTAAGGCAAGGTTACTTTCCTTGTCCCCCACATAACCTCTTGGTCCCTGCACTTCCTGGTTGCTTCACCTAAGAGCTCCTGTCTTGGCGGTTCTTTACTTCATATATACCTAGTAATGTACAAGGAGACATACCCACAATGTGTGAGTCATTCTCTTTAATGATACTAGCTTTTTATAAAAATGGGGATAGTGCAGATTTGCTTAACAGCTTTGAAACCCTCTGATTAAAGATCTCATATTTCTCACCTTCATATTTAAAGCCCACATCCTGCCTGCTAACTCAGGCCACCTGACGTTCTGCAGGTCTCCATTGCACCTCGGACAAACGCTGCACTGGGCTTTGCTCAGATGCTCCCAAGAGATCAGTACCTCTTCACCAAGGAGCAGCTGTTTGAGAGGATGTGCATGGCCCTCGGTGGTCGCGTGTCGGAGGCCATCTCCTTCAATAAGGTCACTACTGGTGAGGAGTTGACCCTGCAGGGTCTGGAGTTCTTACAGTGCTTTTACATCCATTATCCCCCTGCATGGGGGGCGGGATAGGGGAAGTATATCTGATGAAAGGATTTGAATAGTAGGTTGCAAATATCCTTTAAACCTCATTAAGTGTGTTTTTGTTTAAAACAATTTTTTTAAAATATATTTTTATTGATTTCAGAGAGGAAAGGAGAGAGAAAAACATCAATGATGAGAGCGAACCATTGATCGGCTGCATCCTGCACACCCCACACTGGGGATCGAGCCCCCATCCTAGGCATGTGCTCTGACTAGGAATCGAACCATAACACGCAACCAATGAGCCCGGCTGGCTGGGTTCATTAAGTGTTTTTTAAAGATGAGCTATGGTGAAAGGAGATTTGAAACTAAGCAAGACTTCTAAAATAATTTATTTGTTACAAAAACTTTTACATACATGTAGACTATAAATGCATTTAATTGGCTAATTATTGGTAATTCAAGCAACTTTACTGTTCTCATGCTGTTATTTCACTGGGGTGCCTAGAGAGCAGGCAGCAGACTTTCCCTGATTGATCCCCGGCATTGGGGTTCAGTGTTGACAAGTATGCCCTGGGTACACCTGGACTTGTGCTCGAGAATTGCTGGTGAAGCAAATGCAAATATGCAACCCACATAGTTTTTTACTTTTTTTTGGGGGGGGGACAGGCAGAGAGAGAGACATTAATTTGTTGTTCTACTTATTTATACATTGCATTTCTTTTCTTTTTTTTAACCATAAAAGAAAAAATTTATAAAATGGATTTCAACAAAATTTAAAACGTTTGCACTTTGAGCCCTGGTCGGTGGTGCTCAGTGGGTTGGGGCATCGTCCCATGCACCAAAAGTTTGCAGGTTCGGTCAGGGCACATGCCAGGGTTGCAGGGCCAGAGTAGGGGATGTGCAGGTGGCTGCTGATAGATGTTTTGCTCTCACATCAATGTTTCTCTCTTTGCCTCTCCCTTCCTCTCTCTGTTGACCTCTCCAAGACAACTTGATCCAACTTCCTTCTTGAAAACTCCCTTTGTTTAGTCTTTGGTGCCACACTCATTTTGATTCTTCAGTCCGAGGTGCAGGGGCTGGAGGTGGTGCTGGGGGTAGGCGATCGCTGGGCTGTGACCAAAGCCATCTAGGCTCTGCTGGGCTGTCCTGGGCAGGGCATTCTAGTCCCGACTGTGAGGGGTGGGAGGGTGACGGAGCCGGAATGGGGAAAGGAGTGCGGGGTTGGGGAGAGGGGGACGGGGAGGAGAAGGAGGAGGAGGCCGCCGCAGGAAGGGCTGCAGGCTCTGCACCCACCGCTGGCCTCTCGAAGGCTAACGCACCGAACGGGCGGCTGGCGGGCGGACTGACGAGCACGGGCAGTTCGGCAGCTGCAGGGCACAATCTATACATTGCATTTCATTCATTGGTTGATTTTTTATGTGCCCCAACTGGAGATTAATCCCGCCATCTTGGCATATTGGGATGATGCTCTAACCAACTGAGCCACCTGGCCAGGATCTGAATAATTTTTTGGACAAAAGAGCATATTTTTAAGTTTCCGGTCTCTCTCTTAAGGAATAGTAACAGGATACAGTTGTCCCTTGGAGACTCTGCATCTGCTGTCTGGCTGAGGTGTTTGCCAGTGGGGTCCCCAGGATGCCCTGACTCTGCACTCCCAGGAAAGAAACCTTTTCTTGGCCCTATTCTCCAGGAGCACAGGATGACCTGAGGAAGGTTACTCGTATTGCCTACTCCATGGTGAAGCAGTTTGGGATGGCATCGAGCATTGGGCCCATCTCCTTCCCTGAGGCTCAGGAGGGCCTTGCAGGCATTGGTCGGCGCCCCTTCAGCCAGGGCCTCCAACAGATGATGGATCACGTGAGTCCACAGGCCTTGCTGCTGCACCTGTGCTCCATTCAGCCCCACAGTGTGGTAGAGGGCAAGTCTTTGTATTCAGAGGAGGCCTCCCACGGTGCCCTGTCCCTGAGCCTTCACATTGGGGCCTTTCCTCCTGACCTCTGTTGTCTCTCTGAACTGCTTAGTGTGTGTTCTTGGATGAGGACCCCTGTGTGGCTCCTGATGAAACTGTAGATGATGGGAAACTGGGAAGAATATCAAATAAATGCATCAAATGACAGAGCCAGTGCCAATGATCCCTGTGGCCAGCAGGGACATGCTGCATTGTCCAAAGGAGATTGGGCTAGGACAGTGTCCAGCCTGTCCTGGGGCAGCTCTAATTGGCCTGGTGCATGAGCATTTGAGGCAGCTGCAGGCATGGAGGACAGACACAGGGTCCTTGGCCTCTAGGGAGGGGCGGGGGGGCACCTACAGGTAGGAATGGCTGCTGTGGGCAGGCATCCTGAACTAGGACATTCCCAAGGTTGGGATGGGGGCCAGAAACTGTTGGCAGTTGACCTCTCCTGGTCATTGGGATAGACAAAAGGCTGTGTTTCTGAACCTGCACTTCTGTGGTGTACTTTGGTGTCAGAACCAGCCTATAGATCAGTGGTTCTCAACCTTGGCTGCACATTAGAATCACCTGGGAATCTTTTTAAAATCCCGATTTCTGGGCCTCATCCTCCAGAAATTCTGTTTCTTTGTTACTAATGTTGTGGCCCCACCCCATAACAAAGAAACAGAATTTCCGGAGGATGAGGCCCAGAAATCAGGATTTTAAAAAGATTCCCAGGTGATTCTAATGCGCAGCCAAGGGTGAGAACCAATGCTATAGATGATGCTGTGAATAGTGGTCAGCTGTTCTCATTACAGATCTCCTCTCTCATTCACAGGAAGCTCAACTGTTGGTGGCTAAGGCCTACAGGCACACTGAGAAGGTGCTGCAGGACAATCTGGACAAGCTCCAGGCGGTGAGACTTGGTGCATTCTAACCTCCAGGCACCTGTCTGTCTCTTTAGAAGTTGTGTGTGTGGGTGCTGTTACTGCCCTGTGCTGGCATAGCTGGTCATTCTTTTATGGAATACTAGTGGCCTAATACATGAATTCGTGCACATTGAAAGGAAATTAATTAGAAGAAATATTTTAATATCGCTGTTCGCCCTTTCTCTATAATAGAAGTGTCAACCAAATGAATCAACTTACCCATTTATAGATACAGAATAAACTTGCTTAATTAGGCCTGCTTTCTGATGTAGCTAAACTTTTCCCAGCCCAGTGAAGCAACTTTTCTTTCAGGTAATTGTCAGCAACACAGCAGTAAATATCAACACGACGCAGAATATTTTTTTTTTTAAATATATTTTTATTGATTTTTTACAGAGAGGAAGGGAGAGAGACAGAGAGTTAGAAACATCGATGAGAGAGAAACATCGATCAGCTGCATACTGTGCATCCCCCATTGGGGATGTGCCCGCAACCCTGGTACATGCCCTTGACCGGAATCAAACCTGGGTCCCCTCAGTCCGCAGGCCGACGCTCTATCCACTAAGCCAAACCGGTTTCGGCAACACGACGCAGATTATTATTGTAGATTACACAGGGAGAACAAAGAGTAAAATATTTAACTGCAGCAGTGTTTGACTATATTCTGCACAGTGAGAATACCTGAAGTCATTTTCAAAGTCCACCATTTCTTCTTTTCAGTTGGGTCAAGTTTCTAAGCTTTCTAAATCTCCATTTTCTGGCTAATGAAAAGAAAATAGGATTCCACCGAGTCTCCTGTCTATGTACTCCAGAACTTCTGTGAGGATCAAATGAGATGAGGCACGTGAAAACGCTCACAGACATTTGGTTACAGTGTGAAATGTTTCCACCTGGCTATAAAGCAAGTTGTGTTCCTGGCCTTAAGAAACTGCAAGGAGGCTAGTCGCTAGGAAGTGAAAGCCGGGTGATGCTACATGACATCATTATCCAGACAGTTGGACACTTAGCATATTAGCCTTTTATATATAGAGATTTCAAATGAACACAGAACTTCTTTTTTTTAAATATATTTTATTGATTTTTTACAGAGAGGAAGGGGAGGGACAGAGAGTTAGAAACATCGATGAGGGAGAAACATCGATCAGCTGCCTCCTGCACACCCCCTATTGGGGATGTGCCCACAACCAAGGTACATGCCCCTGACCGGAATCGAACCTGGGACCCCTAAGTCCGCAGGCCGATGCTCTATCCACTGAGCCAAACCGGTCAGGGCAGAACTTTCTCTTTTTTTAAGAGAGAGACAGGTGTGGGAAGAGAGAGACAGAAACATTGATGTGTTGTTCCATTTATTTATGCATTCATTGGTTGATTCTTATATGTGCCCTGACCAGGTATTTAACCCACAACATTGGCGTATCAGGATGATACTCTAACCAACTGAGCTACCTGGCCAGGGCTCAAATGAACACAGAAATTTAGAAAACAACATACCAAATATGTGTTCCACCCAGGTCAGCTGAAATAGATTATTTTCCACTTTTTAGCATTTTATTATGAACATGCCAAACCAGTTCTTTCAAAATAGACAGAAGAACATAATAAACCATCATGTGTCCGTTACCCAGCATCAGCAATTATTAATGTTTGGTCAATTTTGTTTAATCTTTTTCCACTCAAACTTTTCCTGAAATTTTAAAAATAAAATTTAAAGTTTAGAATAGTTTTATTAGATTTACAGAAAAGTCACAAATGTAGTAGAGAGTTTTCTTATACCCCACACCCAGTTTTTCCTGTTATTCACATCTTCCATTAATATGTTGCATTTTTCAGAACCTAGTGAGCCAGTATTGATATATTAACTAGATTTCCTTAGCCTTTCCCTAATGTCCTTTTCCTGAAGGGGCACCCTGCTCCACCCCCACATTTATATTTAATCATCATGCCTCCTTGGGCTCCTCTTGGCTGGGACAGTTCCGCACTTTTCTGTTGTTGATGGCCTGCCGTGGCAGTGTTAGGAAATGGGTCTGATGTTCTCACAATGAGACTAGGTGTTGGGTTTGGGGCCATCACTTGACTTCAGAGGTGAAGTTACTGTGTCCCTATACTTGTGGGCAGCTCTTGGTAGATAGGCTGTTTTGTTAATGTGAGGCACTGCCAGCTTGGTAGTTGTGCCTATTGGGTCTTCCAAGTGTTGCCACTTACTAGCAGCACCAGCTTCCCCTGGAGTTGTGGTATTGTGGAATGCCAGGCCTACCCAATCTGCTGAGCCATAAACTTGTTTTTTTAAAAATATTTTTATTGATTCCAGAGAGGAAGGGAGAGAGAGAGAGAGAGAGAAGCATCAATGATGAGAGAGAGAATCATTGATCGGCTACCTCCTGCAAGTCCCCTACTGGGGATTGAGCCTGCAACCCGGGCATGTGCCTTTGGCCAGAATCGGACCTGTGACCCTTCAGTCTGCAGGCCAATGCTCTATCCACCAAGCAACCCAGCTAGGGCCGAGCCATATACTTGTAAACAATGTTCTTGGTGTCACACATGTGCATTGTCACTGCCACTGGGCAGGACCCAGGCTCCCTGTGATGGGCCGAGGATGTCCTGCCTTGGTTTGCACTGTGATCATGATGGACTCACATGATTGGTGGGGTGCAGAACTTAGCAATATATTAGAGCAGCCACACAGATTAAGTGGTCACCCAGTTTGGGGATGATAGAAACTAGTCCAGGTGGCTGTGGCAGCATTCCTTGTAGTGGGACTGAGTAGCAGTGATTGAGTGCTGGCACAGAACACTCAGGATTTGTTCAACATGTTTTCCATGATCATATCTAGAGAGGCAGAGGCCCCCCTTCCCAAACTGTGAAGTCCCCCAACTTATACCTCAGTGCCAGCATTCCTCTCAAGTTCCAGTGAGGATGTTCTGCATTTTAGTCCCCTGCCCCCATACAGACACCCACACCTTGTTTGGTAAAGGAAATCAAAGGTTGCCCAAAATAAGCAGAGATTTGGAAGGGAAGCAGACAATTAATGAGGCTGCAGCTGGCAGATCATCTCCAAGATTGAAACAGGGAGTGATTCTTTGCTTAAGCCGCCTGTGTGTGCTGCTTCCCTGGGAAAGTGGCCTATCTGGGGGCACCCTATTCACAGACACCCCTTTCTGGGAGGGTGAGAGGCCCCCCTCTCAGTGCTCTGCTCTCAAAAGGCTCTTGTCTGTGTCCTTGTCCTCCAAGGTTAACACACTGTCCTTTGTTTCTCTTAGCTGGCAAATGCCCTGCTGGAAAAGGAAGTGATAAACTACGAGGACATCGAGGCCCTCATTGGCCCCCCGCCTCACGGGCCCAAGAAGATGATTGCGCCTTTGAGCTGGAGAGACGCCGAGAGGGAGAAGCAAGACACTGGGGAGGAGGAGGCGCCTCAGCAGCCGCCACTTCGAGGGGAGGAGCAGTCTTAGCCCAAATAGCTGGACCTCATTAATTAATGGTGCCCGTGGGGACCCAGGGAGGGTTCTTTACTTAGCTGTCCCTCAAGTTCCTTTTCACTGGAGATTTGAACCTCATCGTCCATCCTGATCCCTGCTGAAGGCCTTATGAGATCTGTTGGTTTCTGTACCTGTGATTAATAAAGACTGCAGAGGTGATTTAGTTTTGCTTTTGTAGATTTTTTTTTCCCCTGGGGAGGATTGTCAGTGCTTGTTACAGGTGCACATGGAGGAGCTCCCAGGTTTATGACCCAGCAGTCAGGCTCATGCTGGGCTTGTGCAGGGGCTCTTCCAGCTCCTGCGACTTTGTCAGCATGCTAACAGGATCCGCGATGAAAGGACACTGAGCCAATGTCCTCATCCGCACTCAATGGGCTTACAGAATAGGGGACAGGCACCAGGCTCTAAAGGATTAAAACACTGCCACCTACTGCCTTGCTGACTGATGCATACAAGGACCTCTCCTCACTGGTCTGGTGGGGGATACCTGAGGACTGTTGATACTTTATGATAGAGAACCCAACTTTGTACCATGTGGTCAGCTATAACCCAGAGGGGCTGTTGGGTTTGTCCTGGAACACAGGATAGTGTGTGTTTACTAGTTATAATTTCAGCAATTGAAGAGCCCCTTTTGTAGGAATCTGGGATAAGGGGCCAAGGACACCTCACCACTGCAAGACAGACAAGGGCACTCGGCTCCCGTCTCCCTGGAGGTGTGCAACATGTACTCAGGCGCTCCTACTTGCTACTCTTATCACTTCCCCAATTATGGGTACTTCCTGACAGAATGGTGGTTCTGTTGCTGTTCCCACACTGCGCCGAGGAGATGCCCGCTGAGCATAGGTGGGCAAATATAGGTGTGATTACACACGAGGGGGAACACAAGCTTTTTTCTTAACTTTTGGTTTTTTTTAATATACATATTTTTTATTGATTTCAGAGAAGGGAAAGATAGAAACATCAATGATGAGAGAATCATTGATTGGCTACCTCTTGCACGCCCCCCACTGGGGACCGAGCCCACAACCCAGGCATGTGCCCTTGACCAGAATCAAACCCAGGACCCTTCAGTCCACAGACCAACACTCTATCCACTGAGTCAAACCAGCTAAGGCGGCACTTGCCTTTGCCCGTTTCCCAAATTCATTTCCAAAGATCTGCATTAGTCTGGTATCTTTGCCTGAAGGCAGTATTCTTTGTTACCTGTAAGGTGGATATGGACAAGCTCATCCCTTGTATTTTATCCATTAAAATGGCCTATGCCTGTATATCCTTAGGAAAGTCATTTGCTGAGCCCAGAAGATGCTTATCGAGAAATAGGATATAAATGGCATGAATGGGCTGCCTTGCTATAGGAGGGAGCAGGTGCAGCTGGCTTCCCAGCACTTGTTGATATGAATGGGTTCATGGCCCCTTGGCCGGAGGGCAGAGGGTGCTTTGTGCTATGATTAATAGTTGTTTGAAGACTGGCCCTCTGGTCAAATTATGTTACCTCCCAATCATAAGAAATGGCAATTGAGAACAGTGCCAAGAATTAAACCTCTGCTATCTCACTCGGATGATGTTCACACCTCCTTTTATTTTATTTCTTTTTTGTTAATTCTCACCCCAAGATATTTTTTCCCATTGATTTTTAGAGAGAGTGGAAGTAGGGCAAAAGGGTTAGGGAGAGAGAGAAAAACATCAATTGGTTATCTTCCAAATGAGCCCCAACCAGGGCTGGGGATCAAACCTGCAACCCAGGTACGTACCCTTGACTGGGAATCAAACCTGAGACCCTTCATTGTGTGGGATGACACTCTAACCATTGAGAGCACCGGCCAGGGCTCACACCTCCTTTAAAGAGGATCCTAGCCCAGCCCTTGTTACTCAGGGGTTAAGTGTTGACCTATGAACCGGGTGGTCATGGTTCAATTCCCAGTCAGGACACATGCCTGGGTTTCTGGCTCAATCTTGGGTGAGGGGTACATAGGGGCTAGTGGATCAATGATTCTCTCATTAAAAAGAGGATCCTAAAGGTGAAGAGGCTTCAACAGTACATGGTCCCTAGAGCAGTCAGACCAAACCAGGCAACCTGTGTGCCTGATGCTGGGAATGAAACCCTGACCCTCTGCCCTCTGACCAGCAGAGGCAGTATATCCTGGCCTGATTATAACTTCTGGAACTCTAAGTTAGGCATGTGTTTATCTCATTCTGGAACTCTTTGTCTAAGTTAGGCATGAGTTTATCTCCTCATTGAGATAAACACATGTTCCCTAAATAAACATACACAATTAGAGCCTCAAAAAATCATTAAATAAGAAAAATAATAACTTGTAGTTCTTAAATACAAATTATTCTTCACTCTGATCTAGACTCATAAATAAATGTGGTTTTTTGTTTTTTAAGAATTTTATTTTTTTTGAGGTATAATTGACGTACATCAGTCTTAGGTGTACAATGTAATGATTCAATTTGTATATATTGCAAAATGATTGGCACAGTAAGTCAACATCAACACAGTTACAGAATCTTTTTCTTGTGATGAGAACTTTTTTTTTTATATATATATATTTTATTGATTTTTTACAGAGAGGAAGGGAGAGAGATAGAAACATCGATGGGAGAGAAACATCAATCAGCCGCCTCCTGCACATCTCCTACTGGGGATGTGCCTGCAACCCAGGTACATGCCCTTGACCGGAATCGAACCTGGGACCTTTCAGTCCGCAGGCTGACTCTCCATCCACTGAGCCAAACTAGTTTCGGCAGTGATGAGAACTTTTAAGGTTGACTCTCAGTAACTTTCAAACAAAACATTTATGATTATGATAATAGACTTCCAGTTGTCTTTCACTAAAGTTAGTGTTTTCTCATATTACAGGAACCTTTGAGTAATCCTCTATCTGATTTATGTGTAGGCCATGATTTTGGAAAGTTGATAGAATGAATGGTGATGAGTTCTGTGATGAAGCAGTGTAACATTATCCAATAAAAATATATTTAATCAATAAAAATATATTTAAACTTTTATTGATTTCAGAGAGGAAGGGGGAGGGAGAGAGAGAGAAACATCAACAATGAGAGAGATTCATGGATCAGCTGCCTCCACACCCCCTACTGGAGATCAAGCCCCCAACCTGGGCATGTGCCCTTGACCAGAATCGAACCCAGGACCCTTCAGTCCACAGCCCGAAGCTCTATCCACTGAGCCAAACCAGCTTGGGCTATGATACAAATTTTATAAATAAACCAAGACTGTGTCTGAAAGGGTTACAGAAGCTATTGTTGACTGTCTTAGATTAAATTTCTTTAAGGCTGACCCTCAAAGCACCAGATGGAGGAGGCCAGTCAGGTGCAGGTATGCAATGAGCAGGCACTGCCATGAGTAACTGGGCTCAGTCTTGCAAGGAAATAGCTTGTGTGCAGAGTATACTCTGACACCTCCAAGGGTGTCATATCCAGCAATCTTTGGCCCCCTTAGTTCAGCGGTTCTCAACCTGTGGGTCGCTACCCCTTTGGGGGTCGAATGACCCTTTCACAGGGGTCGCCTAAGACCATCGGAAAACACATATATAATTACATAGTTTTTGTGATTAATCACTATGCTTTATGTTCAATTTGTAACAATGAAAATACATCCTGCATATCAGATATTTACATTACAATTCATAACTAGCAAAATTACAGTTATGAAGTAGCAACGAAAATAATTTTATGGTTGGGGGTCACCACAACATGAGGAACTGTATTAAAGGTTCGCAGCATCAGGAAGGTTGAGAACCACTGCCTTAGTTGAATGCTGCTTCCAGGGGCATTAGCCCTTTTTTGTCCACAGGCTGTGCCAAGGGATGGGCTATCACTACAGTTAAAGGTAAAACCCTTGAGCTAGCTAAGTCTTTGTATCAGAAGGATTCCTGCATGACAGTTCACTTCTTTGACCTTTCCCAATGGGAAAGCTGAGAATGTTTTCCGCAGAACTTTCCTATCAGAACTTTTTTTGGCTCGATTTTGCATACTTTTCAAGTATTCAAGTGTGGAAAATTGGATTCTAGCCTGGCTGGTGTAGCTCAGTGCTTGCCCTATGAAACAGGAAGTCACAGTTAAATTCCCAGGTCAGGGCACATGCTGGGGTTGTGGGCTTGATCCCCAGTTGGAGGCATGCAGGAGACAGCCAATGAATGATTCCCATCATTGATGTTCTGTCTCTCTCCCTCTCCCTTCCTCTCTGAAATCAATAAAAAATATTTAAAAATTAATAAAGAAAAATTGGATATGTTTAACTTGGTTATGTGCAGTAGACTAAGGTCCTCAAATGATAACTTCACCTTATTAAACCACACTGTATTCTGAACAGTTTGCAACTTCAGACCTCTAGCCCCCATCCAGTGACCCTGACAGCTTCACAACCAGGCGCAGCTGGAGCTCAGGTGCAGGTGAGGGGTAGGGCAGATGACTGCATGAGTCTTGGATGGAGATAGGAATATTTGAGATTACAAAGCAAGGTACCTTGGTCCATGGTGAGCTCACTGAAAGGGGCCTGATAAATTTTAAACACGGCTATCGCCCTTATTCATATTGAACACGTACCTATTAAATGGCACAGTCTGGGTTTGAACTTCCCATGTAGGCTCTGTATTTGTCTGAATAGACTGTTTGTGCATCATCTGTTACACATGTTCTGTCTTCCTGATCATAACGTTGTAATTTCTCAGTGGGTCCCAAACCTGATTTTTCTAACACCCGAGGATATCCCAATAGAGAAGAAAACTTTATCAGCAACCTGTTTTCTCAGTGCAGGGCACAAGCCTCCAAGTTTCTCCTATTTGTGTCATGATATTCTTAAAATACTAGGTTTTGCTAGGAGGAAGACTGGTAATTGGGGTGAGGTGGGAAAGAAAGAGCGTTACTGGGATGTCAAGGCCTATAGGTAGCAGTAGAGTGTTGAGTGCCCATTCTTGTCCTGGAGAACAGGAGACGCGCAGGGCACAGGATACAGACGTATGCCTGGCTACCTAATGTTTTTGATGATGTTTGTCTCTGTGAAGGAGGCAGTCGGCCGTGTGGATTCCTGGTGCCACCACCTGCTGCCCTATTTCAGAGAAGTTACCCGATCCTTCCGCGGAACAGAGGAAGTTGTACGATTAAATGCATGTGAAGTAGTGGCTTCCCCGCTTACAGCAA